CACACACACACACACACACACACACACACACACACACACACACACACCTGAACAGACTATAGTGTTGTGTTTTCTGGCTGATCTGCTTGATGTGGTGCTCTTCGTCTCCTGCTGTGAGTGACGCTCGGCGGCTGCACTGAATAAGCATGAGAGGAAGTTACACATCAGTCTCGGGTGGGCCGAGGGGCTCGTCTGATTGGCTGAGCTGGTGGTGTGTTCCTCCAATCAGAGGAGCTGAGTGAATGGGTGATGTTGTTCAGATGTGTGTGCGTGACTGCGTCTGTAATCGGCCGTCATGTGACTCAGCTTCAGGCTCATGCGATGCTCATTTCCTGCCGGCCTTTAATAACCCGCTAAAGGTCACTGTGCTGTGTGTGTGTGTGTGTGTGTGTGTGTGTGTGTGTGTGTGTGTGTGTGTGTGTGTGTGTGTGCGTGAGCTCTCCCTCAGTGTCTGGTCTGTCCTGTACTGCTCCTGATGTGCTCCACTCCTGCTGTTATCCGTCATGAAGCACCTGTAGAGTGTGGGTGTGTTATTATGAGGACTCGAGAACACCGACACACTCTTACAGCACACACACTCATCAATAATGACACTAATCTCTGTACGCATCTCCTGACCTCGACCGCAAACCACAAACCACAAACACCAAACCAACTCCAAACCAGAACTCCAGACTCTACTGAGTGAAGCTGCTCTTTTCCAACTGATCCGGCTTACGGTTTTCCCAAAACTGACCCGGAAAATTGGGAAAAAGTCCCATTGACTTAACATTGGACCAAACTCTGTGACCTCATCACTCTGCGCCGGACTGTCATACAGACTTAATGTTGGGCTCAAATAACTCAGACTACCAGCCAATCAATGATGACCTTTCAACTTACTAGCCACACCCTAGCAACCACTTATGCCACCCTAGCAACTGTCCCATAGACTTCCATTGTAAAAACCTGCCATCGATTGGACATGCTAACAACACACCAATCATACTAGCAGCATGCTAACAAAATACTAATCATACTAGCAACATGCTAACAACATACTAATCATATCAGCAACATGCTAACAACATACTAATCATACTAGCAACATGCTAACAACATACTAATCATACTAGAAACATGCTAACAACATACTAATCATATCAGCAACATGCTAACAACATACTAGTTTATACTAAAACATACTAATTATACTACCAACATGCTAATTCATACTATAACATACTAGCAACATACTAACTCATACTAAATTCATGCTAACAACATGATAGTTTATACTAGAAACATGCTAGCAACATGCTAATTCATACTAGAACCATGCTAATTTAAATTAGCAACTGCCTAGCAACTACTCAGAACACCTTTGCAACCATTTAGCAACACCTTAGCAACGATCTATAACATTTTAGCAACCACCTAGCAACACTTCAGCAACCACCTAGCAACGCCTTAGCAACTACCTAGCAATGCCTTAGCAACCACCTAGCAACACCTCAGCAATGACCTAGAAAACCTTAGCACCCACCTAGCAACACCTTAGCATCCACCTAACAACCACTAAGAACACCTTAGCAACCACCTAGCAACACCTTAGCAATGACCTAGGACACCTTAGCAACTGCCTAGCAACACTTTAGCAACCACCTAGAAACACCTTAACAAATACCTGGAACACCCTAACAACTGCCTAGCAACACCTTAAAACCGCCTCGTAACCACTCAGAACAACTTAGCAACCACCTAGCAACATCTTAGCAGCCGCTCAGGTCCCCCTATCAACCGCTTAGCAAGAAACCTGCAATCCATTCCAGAACGCTGCGGACCTGCAGTGACCTCTCAGAGCCGACTGCTCCAAACGTCTTCAGCTTCAGTCTTTCAGCCGAGACAAGACACCATCCCGTCTGTCCAGGAGCTCTACTGTTCTAGTTCAGCTGGTCATGATCCGGTGGAGCTCCTCTAGCCAGAGCTGCTGATTCCCACAGTGTAGATCCCCGCTGGTGCTGTAGCTCAGGAGATCATGTCTGCTGGCTCTCCATCCTCCTCAAAAATGAAACTAGATGTTGTCTCTTATGTTTCCATGGAGACGGTAAGGTGTGGCCAGCAGGCGGCGCTGCAGTGACAGCAGGGTGTGTGAAGCACACTCGCACACACAGCCTCCGTGCAGGTCACAGGGTTGTTAAGAGGCAGAAATGCAGTTGCTAGGGAGATGTGCGGGGTTGCTAATGTGTTTGTTCTGTGGTCACTGAGCTGTTAGGTAAGGTCATGCTCAGGAATCAAGGTTTGAGTGTTCACTGTCTGGTGTGCAGGTGTAGTGCACTGCCTAGTGTTCCCTCAGCAGTCATTATATCACACACAGATGAGCTGATAGCACACACTGAGCATGTGCGTGTGTGTGTGTGATGATAGCATCAGACTGACCAATCACAGCTCCCCC